CCGCCCGCCCCCCGTCACCCCGCCTGCATCGCTGGCACGCGCCCCATCTTGCCCGCACGGTCACCATCCCGGTCTCTCGTCCACACCTCCCTTTTGCTGCCGCGCTCCCCTTCGCTCTTCGTCACAAGCTTAACGCCCCGCCACGACGTGTATCATCCTTGCCTACCGCCCGCTCGTCAACAGCACCACTACCTACTCATCTCATCACTATAAACATCATCTCCTCATCACCGCGCCACTCCCGTCTCCCTCCTCCGATGGACCAGAAAATGTCAGTCGGCCTTGATACCTCCATCGGCATGCCCGGACAGCCAAACTGGGTCCCAACACCATCTCCTCTCAAGTTTCAAACCCTTGACCCGTTGCCCGTCCAGGCAGAGTGGAAAAATCCTCTATCTGCCTCAGCTTCAGCTTCTGCAAACAGTACTTTCCGTTCAAGCACCCCGGCCATCAGCACCGGCCTCACTCCACCGTTTCCTCCGCTCGTCTCTCCGGGAGTCTCTGGTGAGATTGCAGGCGTCGTCGACAACCCGCCCCACACATCCACGTCGCTCTCCGACCTCTTCAACGTCCCCGCCTACCCTTTCTCTTCTGTCAAGACACACTCCCCGAACCCGCCGGGCATCAAGCGACCACCGAACCCGACTCCCCCGCCGCAGCAGCGACCTTCACTTCGCCCGCCGCAACCGCCATCCGCGTCACCATCCGCGGTTCACACGTCTCGCTCACAGGTCGAGCAGAAGAACCCCACTCCTCAACCTTCTTCAATGGCATACCCCACCCACTACGCTCGTCAGGGCGCGCCGCACCCGCCCCCGCTCATGCCGGTCCAGCAAATGTCACACATGTCTCAACCTCAGCAGCATCATCCAATCATCCCACAACAGCAGATGTCATACACTACCGCTCCACAACAACAGCAACACATGTCTCAGCCGCTCCAGCACGTCTCGGCCCCACAGCAACAAAGCTACGGCGGCTATTCAGTTTTGCCCCCGAATCAGCATCCGCAGGCACCTCAGCCAGCCCCACAGACTCCGCGGGTAGAGCCCATGATTGCGCCCCTCCCCAGACCAGGGGGTATGGCTGAGCAGGAGTCGGAGAAGAAGGACTCACCTCCTGTCATGCCTAGCACTGGCCATCGCTCGGTTCTAGGGTCTGGTGTTGTCTCCTCAGCTGTGCATGAAGCACAGGTTCGCGCTCGGATGAAGGCGGAGACATTCGCCAAAAACCGCAAGAGGAAGAGGCCGGGGCCCATCGAGGAGGAAAAACCAGAGAAGACGACTGACGAAGACTCCAAGCTCTCCACAGAGGATCTCAGGAAGAAAAGGTACCTCCGACGGCTGGCGTTAAATCGTGAGAGCGCAGCAGTATCAAGGGTGAGACGCAGAGAATATGTCAAGCTTCTCGAAGAGCAACTTGTAAATGCCGAGAAGCAGCGAGTGAAGCTTGCGAATGATCTCAGCGCCATGCAGGTGCAGCACTCGGAACTTCGTAAGCATCTCGTGCATCTGGAAGAGGTCGTCCGCAAGCGCAGTGGCCCCGCCGGAGCTGCAGAAGCAGGCCGTGAATCATATCCATAGGTGGCCTGAGCGTGACTTGAAAGACATTCGCTCTGAGCAACTGTGTTGCTAACTAGAAAATAAGACTGGGAACGTGTGGGTTTGACTGTCAGATGCACAGTAGCGCATTAAGTAAAGCATATATGCAACTCGTTGCGAAACCCTTTTAAATTGTCTGGCCTTTGTTTTATTGCGTATTCAGTGCTGAGCCGATGCATTCTGTGGACGTGAGCGGAAGAGCCTCCATTAGTTTGTCTTCTTCCTGTGCGATTGCGATGCAATTTCGACGAACACGAAGTTTTGTTACGCTGTTTGGTCAGGACTTGACCACGGGGGAGGGGAACAATACACTGGAGTAGTGCACCTGGCACGGAGCGTGGGACGATCGCTGTTGTTTATGCTTGGCAAGCATGGAAGAATAAACAGTGAGGCAGGAATCATCCCCGTGAACTAGATGACTTAGACGGAGCACTGCTCGCAATTGCTGCTGGCGCGACCTCATTGCACGTATCTTGGCTTCCTCGGTCACCGCGGCATCTACACCAGCAGTGACAATATGAGGACTGCTGCAAAACGGGTCAACGACCCTTTCGGAGCGTCGTGGCGATAGAATAATGCGTCAATCTGTGCCACAAAGAAGATAGCCTTTACACTGCGTACAGTGCAGCACTCTGCTATTAAGATTGATGAAACAGGACTCTGTCCTACTCGTCACTTGTTAAGTCTACCAGCACCAATGCTTCATGCGTTGCGGCATTAGGCCATAAGTTGTCGTGCCGACTGTAATACTGTACAAAAAAGGCAACCAAGCTCAGCGGGCAGGAGACAGCCTCTGTCCGATTCTGCGGGGATGACGAGCAGGGCGGGAATGACGAGCAGGGCGGGAATGTTCCTTGTCTTCCACGTGCGTTTGGGTTTCAGAGAGGGCAAAAAAAAGTTGATCTTAGGGTGGCGGTGTTTGGAAGCCGCGCTGGACGTTGATAGGTTTGGCGGGCGGTGGTGTGCACACGTCGTGCATGCGTGTGCCGGACGCGACGGCCACGCATGCACCCCTCGTCGGCGGCCACAGGACGGGGGGCGCATCGGGCCCACGACCTGATGTGCCTCACGATGGCACGGACAACGATGATGGCGTCAGTCAATAGCCAGAACTAATTCCACGGAAATAACAGACTCGGGCCGCGGGCGTGGTCCGGTCCGGAGCCGGTCCGGTCCAGACCGGACCGGACCGGACCGGTACTGTGGCAGGGGCACCAGAACGCTGACGTGGATGCCACCAGGTTGGAGGGTTTGCGTTTTTTGAAAATTGCAAGGGGCCTATGGCGTGCGCCCACTTGGAGCTGATGACGTCGGCAAGGATATGGCGTCATTGATTCGTGTGGTGGGACGATGGGCGGGCGGGCAGTTGTGGGTGAGTCGATGGAAACGACCATTCTTGCCCTTCCGGGGCGGGCCATGGGCTTTGTGATCTTTCCAACTGGGGAGAAGCGTGAACTATATCCACGTGTACAGAGTCAAGTGAACATGTGCGAGTGGGAAGTTGTTTCACATCGCTACTGCCTGGCCTGACCTGAAAATCGAATAAGTCAGCTAATCGATCTGAGAAGACTTTTGTGGCAGCTTTTTGGGAAGAGCGAGGCGGATACCCAGATCGGTGCAGTTGATGAGGTCAAATTGAGAAACTGTCGATGTGGCGATGGTTGAGGTATGATAAGGGAAGGATACTAAGGATACTGAACTACGGTTGGCACCCCGGTGCTCTATGACAGAGCTTACGCAAACGAGAATTTCAGCAATACAAATGCAGAAATTCTGCATCATCAATTGCCGAAACCCATTTCTGAAAAATTTGTGAACACTTTTCTAAAACGTTTACGCCAAACGTAGACTTTCAAACATGGGAGTATTAGTCGAAAAGGGCATGCAGTACAACTAGACACTGTAGAGTGGTACCATCGTCGCAACGACGGCGATCGAGGTAGCCGTCGATTGCACGATGGGGCGGGGGAGGCAAAAGGACCATCGCACAGCTTTGGTGAGACGTTAAAAAGTCCCTTCGCAAGTCGCGTTCTGCAATTCTGTTTGCAGACGATCTACACGACTCCGCATTCTGTCACACCACAGCAACTCTTAATTTGGCAATGAAAATGGCACATGCTACTGTATCAAGGACTATCAAGATTACATGTTTGCGGAGAGTTTGTGTGCGTTTCAGGTTGCGGGCGGCTCCCCCACGCCACCGCCCGCTTCCTCCCTCCCTCTCGCGGGTAACCGCAGCAGCCCGCGTCGTAGCATTCCCCGCTAATCTAGACCTCCATCACGAAGTGCCTCCCGCTCGCGACCAGACGCTCAACTCCCCGAACGGTTCGCTCCCGCTTGCCACCTTTGCGCCCGTGTCAGACCGCGCTTTCAGGTGCTGGTAACGCCATCGCGCTCGTGTAGCACTGTCCCTCGCCGACTCCGCGCTTCCGCTTCGTCCCGCCCGCCATTTGCGGCAGCCCCTCCCGCCGTCTCCCTCGCCGTCTCACCGTGCAGAAAATCAACGGCGCTGTCAGGCAGGGTACAATTTACACAATGGCACCCGACTCTACCGCAAGCGCGACGCAACAGCTCGCTAGCGTCGAGTTCTACAAGGCGCTATCTCCCCACTTCCAGCGCGTCTCTCACATGGGCGCGCCGTTTTCCGCCTCGCCGATGCGACGAAGCAGCTCCTGGGCGCGCCGTTCGTGCGCTGTGAGCCTGTCGTGCGACTCCTGCGCAAAGTCTGCGAGACACGTCCTGAGCTGTTGAAACTGGTCTGCGCCTGCACCACGCGACTCTCCCGTGGGGAGAGTGTGCGCGAGCGGGTCGGGCGAGCTCGTCGCTCCACACGGCCTCCCGTTGGGCCATGGCCCGCGTGCAGTTCGCGTCGGTTGGACGCGCTGTGCGATGAGGCGACCGGCGTGAGGAAGGCCGGGAGGGAGACGAGTGTGAGATGCGTAGGGAGATGAGGAAGGTGAGGCCGTTTGCAAGGTTAATGGCGGCGACGTTGAACGCCGGGTTGTCGCACGTGAGGACAGAATTGAGGGTGGAGGCGGCTAGGGAGACGGCAGAGATACTGGAGGCGGGGAAGGTGGGAGGGAAGGTTGTGTTTGGCGGAGAGCGGAATCCGATGGAGGCGCTCAAGGAACTGGTAGGGGTTGTTAAGTCGGACAAGGCGAGGAGGGTAAGGGTGACACAAGCGGTGGCGGCAACGAATTGGTAACCTTGTATTGCTGTGTATCATGCATGTATCCTATCAAACTACCGCCAATTACACGACACCTGTCCCTATCATTTCTCACAACCATGCTGAAATTCTCTTCACTAAAACTCACATTTCGGCAATTTTTGTCACGACTTGATTGCAGAATTCTGTATATGCAATTTCAGTGTAAGGTTTTTTGCAGAATTGTTTGCAGAAATCTGCAGAATCCGGTTTGCGTAAGCTCACTTAGTGAGCTTACGCAAACCGGATTCTTTATTTACGCAAACCGGATTCTATTTAAGTCGGCGCGACGGCAGCTCTGTGACCTCGCGCCCTCCCGGGTTGTCGGAATTTTGAACAACGTCTAAGAGTCTATTCAATTTTCATTTTAAAGTCAAGAACAAGATTACTAAACCATGAAGGCCTCAACGTCGCCGCGTGTGACTGCTGTACAGCGGAGTTTGCCTATCAAAGCTACTCTGTTGATGGTGGCGTACCTCCTCTTCACAAGGGTCAGCGCAAATACAGTCTGTAGCCCTGCGTCATTGCGAATTTGGGCACGGGACTACCCGATGAGTGGCTCAGTTGCCGATAGGCGTATGGCGCTGCCATCCACGTGCATCGTAAGTACTTTGAGAGACAAGTCTTATGAATTTGTGAAGGATGTTAGGAACGCGTGCAGGACGTGTACCACTGAGAGAGAGATGGCTGTCAAGACGAAAGATATTATCGTTGTGGCCAAGAAGACCCCCGGAGCTCTGACCTGCGGTTGCCACTTCGCGTGCATCAAGTGTCTGACCAAAGGCGAGGACTGCGCTGCGGGACTTGGTGGATGTGCAATCCTGGCGCACGAGGTAAGGTACAGAACGTCGGAACTGGCCAAACTGACTAGAGCCTCCGCAAACTGGTGTGCCACTCAATGTGAGAAGAGAATCACGGAGGGGCGGTGCACAAGCAGAAGGCTGGTTAATATCTAGACTTAGAAACGGATATGGTTAGTGATTACTGTCAAGCGCAACAACCTGGATCATCCGAAGGTAGACGAAGGGCTCAGGTGTGAGTGTGAGTATTGTCCTATGAAACGAATGGTGTGGGACCGGGTGTATTCTTCTTCGTAATGATGACTTGCTATGTAGGACTGAACTTTCACTTCCTATTGATGATTTACTATTGTTTGTATGAGAGTATAACGATCTTTTATGGTCGTATTGTAGTTCCTCGCAATTTGGTTTATGTGAGCGAACTGGGTTGGGTAGTATAAAAGGGTAGGCTTCTGACTCGACTAGCGAGAAGAATGAAGAGCCCAGCGAAAAAGGCAGATACACATAACACATCAAGGTCAGAAGCTTCCGTTCGTCGGAAGACCTGGATGAGTAAAACACCGTTCGTCGGTGCCACCGTTTTTTTCCAACTACTGTATTTTCCAGCCTGATTTTTCAGTATTTCTACATCCGGGGCCTCGTGCTTAAGGAACCTAGGGGACGTTTAGCAGCCACGGTAACCCGCATTACTGTGGAACTTCACTAATCATGACTTAGCCTTAATCGGCTAAATTTGGGGACGGATTTCAGACATCATGTCAATCTGGTCCCGAGACAAACAAAGAGAGTTAGAGAAAGATGAAGTTTACTCGGGCTACCAGACCGCGCTCACCCTTGTAGATCCCGGCTAACGCCGAGACCACGTAGTGGTCATTAGTTTTGTCCGACACCGCCCTCCTTCGTCACACCCATTAGGCCCTGCCGCTTCTGTGGCGGCAGGGGCCGCCAGCGCCGGAGCCTCGGCCGCACGCCGAGGGGCGAGCAAAGTAGAGAACGACTCTTAGACTTTGCTATATTCCGATAACCCGGGAGGGCGCGAGGTCACAGAGCGGCCGTCGCCGCCGACTTAATAGAGCACCGAGGTGCCAACCGTAGTTCAGTATCCTTAGTATCCTTCCCTTATCATACCTCAACCATGGCCACATCGACAGAAACGAGATGCTGCACAGTACCCTTCGAAGGGTAGTTTTCACAATCTAAAAATACGGCATCAGAAATTTGATACATTGTAGTTTGACTGCAGCAACCTACTGTAAGTTGATTGCAGCCTTGATTGCAGCAACCTACAGGTTGACTGTGACATGTACAACGGGGGCGGAGAGAGGTGTGACACTCAAAGCTGACAATGACATAGCTGTAATGCGCGGCGACAACAATGATCACCTGAGCCTGAGCTATGTACCTGGATTCTTGGGAGGTGCGCGAGGCACCTCCGAGGCTATAGACAACCTGGCCTAGGGGCGAGAGGCCCCAGCAAAGAAGGATACTTAGTTCAGTAATGAGATTGAAACATTAAACGGAAGAGGTCAAGAGAGGACCATATTTTGTTATGGTAGCATCGCATGAGCAAAAGCGTTTTTCTCAACAATTAAAACATTTAGTGAGTCGACCGTTAATATGTCTTCCGGAACAGATCACGACTCAGTTACGAAGCTTCCGAAGCTTAACAGCGCAAAAGACTATCTACACTGGCGTCGCCGTTTGTATGCCTTTATTCGGCGCAACGACATTGAACTGCTAGGGTTTTCAGAAGTTGCCGAGGATGCATCTACTGCCACGAGGAAGAAATGGCTCGAGGCCATGGTGAAGGCGAAGAGTGCGATTGTGTTAAGTCTGGGAACAGGACCTCTTGCTCAGCTTGCCGAACTCATCGATGACGATAACAAGACTGCAAAAGAACTTTGGGATTCTTTAGCAAAATTGCATACTACCTCCAATGCACAACTCATCATCAATTTGCAACATGAACTGGAAAACCTTTCATTCAAGGATGGTGAGAGTTGGGAACGCCATCTCGAGAAGTTCAATGATATAATCGGGAAATTGGAGTCCTACGATAAAAGGGTTGATGACAAGGCCTCAAAGCTAATAAGAACTCTACCCGAGTCGTTCGAGCCCTTCGCAATGGTCACAAACTCTGTTGGTATGTCTTTCGACAAGCTTCTTGTTGCAGTGGAAGGAGAAATCTTGAGGCGCAAGCGAAACTTGCCAAGAGGGACTTCTAATCCCACAGCTGCTTCGGCGGTCAATTCAGGAACGCAACTCATATCTCCACAAGGAGGTATTGGAAAGAAAAAAAAGGGTCCTTGCTATGTGTGCGGCAAGCTTGGGCATTACGCTTCTGACTGCTGGCACAAACAAGTCGGTTACCAACCCTTCTCGAAAAGGGGTTCATTCTTTCGAGGACAAGGACGCTATCGTACTCGAAGAGGTCGTGGAAATTTGCGTAACCGGGGAGGTTACAGAGACACAAGAGGGTACCGTAATTTCAATTTTCACCCTACTCCGCAAACACCATGGGCACAGGCACAACACCAAACCACACCATCTGGTCCTCACAACGGTGTCGAAAATGCAAGTCGTGGCAACCATTTATCCACTCAATATGCGTCGAACAACTCAATATCTCCGCTACCGCCTCTTTCAAATCCATCTAACCGTGATCGTTCATTCGGTTTCATGGCTGGTATGAAATTTCGCAGCTCAGTAGCAGTCTGCAATGAGGAAAAGTCAGCGGATGCCCTAATTGATTCAGGCGGTTCGCACCACTTTTTTCATTCAAGAGCTTCTTTCATAGTTTATGAAAAGGTTGCTGTTGAGGATGTGCTATCTGCGTCAGGAGTCTCCATTATCGTAGGAAAGGGAACTGTTATATTCCTCTCAACGGAGGGATGTACATCGACGCATTCCACACTCCAAAATTCTCTGCCAACATGCTATCAGTCGGACAACTGTCTGACAATTTTAACGTCTTGTTTACTCGGGATCCACCTGCTGTTAACAACTACAGCACATGTTTTCTTACGACCCGCTCTACAAACAGAACCATTTTCTACGTGAAGGCAAGTGAGGGACTATACAAGATGAGAATCCAAAATCAAAATACAGCCTCTCAAACCACCGCACCTCAAGGTGCGAGTTCAACGCTTCCTCTTTCGTCTTGCACATTATGTCATGCAAAAATTGCATCTTCGTCCCGTGTTGACTATTCTCTTCCCAACCATGCGCTAGAATGGCATTCAAAATTGGGACATCCAAACTCCGCTCGATATCTCCAACTTTCTGAACAATTTCCAAGCGTCCCAACTTTTCCGCGAGGTACATTGGATCACATACTCTGTGTTCCGTGCTCGCTGGGAAAAGCAAAACGAGCAACGATTCTACCTAGTCTAAGGTCAGTGTCTTTTCCGCTGGAATTAGCCCATCTTGATGTTCTTGGCCCAATTAATCCCACATCAATTGGAGGTCGTAGTTATGCTCTCGGCATAGTTGACGACTTCACGGCAAAGTCAAATGTTTATTTTCTTTCTGAAAAGTCTGAAGTAACACAACGCCTCATGGAGTACAAAGCTCGTGCCGAAAATGCGTCCGGATACCGTCTCATTAATGCTAGACTAGATGGAGCTGGTGAGAACGTCTCTAACGAACTCAAGATATACTGCAGGCATAATGGAATAAGGCTAGAGTATAGCCCTCCATATGCACCGCAGAGCAATGGTCTTGCGGAAAGATTCATGCAAGAGCTTGGAATGCGTTCTCGTGTTCTGCTTATTGATTCAAAGTTACCCAAATCCCTCTGGGCAGAAGCAATGTCTCACGGTAACTGGCTCAGAAACAGGTTACCATCTGAGAGAATCCAAGGAAAACTCCCCATTCTCATATGGGATTCGAGGACACGAATCGATTACGGCAGCCTACCTCCTTTTGGACAACCTGGTTTTGCATTTATCTACAAATCACCGACATCATCGGACAGAAAGTTAAGTGCAAGAGCACATCATGGCCACTTCGTGGGTCTTCAAAGCGAAGAAAGCCTATACCGGATTTTTGTTCCCGAAGTGAATCGCGTCATCATCACGCGAACCAGGGATTTCCGCCAATACACCACAGACAGGCTACCCGGGGTTCATTCTCTCCTGGACGGTATTGCACGACAGAGTGAATTGGAAAGTCAAAATGGAGATGATGGAATTGCTGAAGATATACTTATCCAAGCCTTCGTCGTTTTTCGTGAACCACTTTTTATCTCATCATCTCACTTTGGCCGCAAGTCCAGACTGTCAAATTCTGAAGTCCCGCGCTCATTCTCAGAAGCCGTCACTTGTCCATTATGGTGCCAGACCATTGACAGGGAGTACACTGCTTTGATAAAAAGGCGGACGTGGCGCTACATATTGCGCACATCGCAACATCAACCATTGCCCTACACGTGGGTATTTCGCTTAAAGCCTATCGACAAAGATGGTGTCGATTTTCTTCATAAGGCACGTTGCGTCGTTCGCGGGGACCTACAAGATCCTCGTTTCGAGTACGATCCGGATTCTCTATATGCTCCTGTTGCATCACATGACGCAATTCGTATTATTTTTGCTTTTGCCTCCGCTTGTGACCTTCTCCTCGAAGGAGGGGATGTGGCGAACGCATATCTATATGGCGACATTGACTTTGAAGTTATAATGGAACAACCTACAGATTCCTCTGGAAAAGAAGCAATGCCAAACCATGTATGTGTTCTTCAAAAATCTATGTACGGTTTAAAACAAGCCGGCCGTATTTGGGGATCGATGGTAGCTCAAATGTTCCTGAGGTGGGGATTCAGGCAATCTGCTGCTGACCCCCGCGTTTTCTACTTACAAGAAGAAAATGAATTTATTGTTGTCGTGGTTGTCGTAGACGATATGAAGTTTGCAACCAACTCAATGAAGCTCTTGGATACTCTGAAACGTAACCTAAAAGCAACTTTTGACGTCAAGTTCTTCGGCTCCCTACAGTCGTTCATTGGATGGGAAATTTCTCAGAAGCCTCATGGAATAATCATCTCGCAAACGCGATACACAGCTGGTCTATTAACCAGACATGGACTAGAGCATGCGAACGGGGTCTGGACCCCACTTCCGACCAATGCAGATCTCAGGAAAGCACATACATCGGATAGGCGCCTTTCGTCCGCGGAACATACAAGATATCGTTCCACAATAGGTGAACTATTATATCTTGCCGTGTGTACTCGTCCCGATATCTCGTTTGCCGTATGCGCTCTCGCTCGTCATGTACATGACCCAACTGAAAGGCACTACATTTTACTTCGCAGGGTACTAAGGTACATTTGCGGAACAAGAAACTTTGGGATATTGTATT